GAAGGAATCGAGTTGTTGTATGAAAGATTTGACGAGATAAGGTCAAACAGTGAGTTTGGCGCGGATACAGCACAAGCGACTTGTGCAGAAGTTGTGTCGCTCACTGAAAGATTGCGAAATTTAGAATTTACTGAATCTGCCACAAGAAAGCTTTCTACTGCGAAGAAGAGATTCGAACGTGCCCGTGAAATGGCAACAATAGCATTTTCAAATGAAGCACTATCAACAACTGACTGCATTTTAGCAATACAGTACCGAGTGATGACAACAGTACTAGAGGCAATAGACAATCTATCGGATGCTGTAGCACCGTGTAAAGTATGTATTAAAGAGCTAAACGGTCTTCCAACGGTTCAGCAAAGCTTTAAAGTACAGCTCAAGACAGGAATCAGTGCAGTGATGGGTTTGTTTTACCAAGAAGAACGAGTAAAAATCATTTCCGGTGTCTGTCGCGTCAATCGTGTCGCCTTCGATGTCACACAAGCGATATGCAGCAGAGGGCTTCTACTCCTGGAGTGGCCTAATGTCGATACAGGAGATGAGAAAGTTGACTTACTGCATGACAGGAGACTGGCTCTATTACTACGTGAACAAGGTATGGAGCAGTGTGATCTATCATGGACAATTGGTCAGGATGGTGAAAAGGAGCACAGGATAAAAAATCCACTAGATATCGCTACTAACTCAAGCGGGCAATATATTGTAGCCGACTATGACTTGACAATCAAGGTGTTTGACAATAGTGGCAAATTTGTGAAGTGTTTCAGACTTCCTCCTTTTATTGATGACAATGGTAAAGAGCTATCTACGGAAAACTGGAAGGTTAAACTGGCGACAGACATAAACGACAACATTTATGTGCTGGTTGAAGAAAAGAATCATCAGCGTTGGATTTTTAAGTTCGATAAATCCGCTGACCAGTATCACAAGTTTCGCGAGAGGACAATGGACCTCGAGTGCAATCTGTGTAAACTGTCAGTTAGTGATAGTGGCAAAGTGATGGTATTGAAAGGCAATTATACAAAGGAATATCATTTTGTGGATCTATACGAGACTGATGGCCAGTTTGTTTGCAGTTTTGGAGAACAAAATTTGAAGAGCCCGCGAGACATCAGCACTGTAAGTGATGGCAGAGTTATGGTGGTGGACCAAACGCCTTCCCACTGTGTACACATATTTAGCGAACTCGGTGATCATCTAAGTAAGTTTGATCTCAAAGGGTTTGTTCACTTTCCAAACATTGCATTTCACAGGGAAAGTCAACAAGTCGTCTTGGCTAGTACTGACGATGAAAAAGAGCTCCTCTGTATTGGAATATACACCAAAGATGGTGAGTTTGTACGAAGCGTTTTTATCTACAAAAGTGGCTATTTCCTGTATAAGATTGCAGTGAGCACTGAAGGACGCATTGCAGCTCTAGGACCTTCATACGTCAAGCTAGAGTCCGGCGTCATGGATTATAAAATAGGATATCGATTGATTGTTCTATAAAACAGATGCAAATGTTCTTGACTTGTTTCCACGTTCATTTTGCGGAATCAACTCAGGCCTGAGAAAATAACCCCCTTACTTTCTCTTGGTTTGGGCGTAAAGTTTTGAACAATCCTACTTTCAAGAGAGGTCTACTGCAAAGTGTATAATCTGATTTCGTCTTTTTTCTGGATTGTTTGCTATGTGGGTTTTCTTTTTTTCCTTAAGAAATTACTTATAAAACAGTTTAACACATAATACGTTTTAGGTAAGACACAGAATCATATACCTTGTTGGCGAGTTTTTCACTTTATGTCTTTTTAGACCCTGAAACATACTCAAACGAATGTAATGTAGTTTCGGTTTTTCTTGGTGAACAAATCATATCAATTTAGGAATTTTTTTCACTTGTAACAATCTCCTTCATGGTTCTAGGCTAATCATCACTGACCCTCAACCTCATGATTTTAAGTATATTTTTTTCCAAGTTGTGATTATTAATTCACGATTTTAGCTCCCAATCATTTTCTTATACCGAGGTAAAACTAGCATGTAGCGGATATATTTGTCTATTCTCATTACACATTTTTGTCGGATGACGTGAGGTTATTGTAAGGAGAAGCTGAATGTGATTCCCTTCTGTTAGTGAAAGGGTTGATAGACAATTTTCTTTGGGTGTATGTGTATGATTTGATATTTTAATAAGCGTGTTCATAGACCCTGTATAATTTCAGCCGTGGCATTCACCGTAATGATTCGATTTAGCGCTCGGGGCGCTTATTTACTTTTGGTACCTCAAAGGAGGGCGCTCATTCGAGGCAAGGCGGTAATTAGGGACAGGGCGCTTATCAAGGACAGGGCGCTTACCGATATTTCTTTTTTAGAAAAAGCAGAATGAGCAAAACAAAGCTTTGATGATTTTATTTGAAGAGAATCAAGAAGACTGGAAAAAGGACTTGTTGTCTCTTGATCCTTCCTGACTAGAACGACCAGCCTAGCAATCGTCACACGGAAAACATATCTTATTGACCAAACGATGGTCTCTTAAATTCGTTCATCCCACATAGACCATACTTACCACGCTGAAGTTGCAGTTGGGTAAAAATGAGAGATGGACACGCATGCAGGGTTGCACGCAAACGCTGCTTACGAAAATTTTAGACACGGCTATTGCGTCACTTTACTCGCTTAAACGGCGTACTATTTCACTCGCCAGCCTGCTGTTTTATTCAGTGCCGAGCTCGACACCCTTCTTTGTTCCATGTAATACGCGCGTTTGTTTTTATCGTGCGATTCGAGCAATAGAAAATTTTAATCGTTGTGCAGATGATACCGGCTCCGCTCCGAAGCCGGCGTGTCATTTTTCTCGCTGCCTTGCGTTCACCTTATTCTCTGTTTTCCCATTTATGACGAGATCATTAGTTTGAAGGAATTGTGCACTCACGTGGACATAATATAAACTAAAGACTGAGACGAAGACCACTGTTTTTGCAATGAGGCTTTAAGTGATAAATCAAAGGAAGATGAACCCCCACGGTTGATCTCAACGTCTATGTATTCTAACAGTGCTATCACTGAAGCAGAATAGGGGTAGCCTTTACTGCAGGCGTCTTATGAGGGCGAGTTAACGTTAACTAGCTCGCGATCGTTTATTCAACCGGCCATGTTTTGTTTGATGCAGGGAGGGAGGCGGGGAAATCTTCACTCCTCCACCCCTACCCTCTTCTTATTTTTGACCGTCGACCGCCCCCTCGGTACAAGTTTCTTTCCCTCCCCAGTCTTATAGAATAAACAGGTTTAAACCTTTAAACCCTAAGAGTAACTAGCATCTAATTTCTCTTTACAGTATCAGCCCTGAATCACACATTAAGGTCTTGAGAATAAAGGAAATGGTCTCCAGGGAAGGAATCTTTTGATTAGCAAACAAATTCTCCTTGTCAGCACCTTAGGAAATATATAAAGAACAGTGAGGAGAATTTGCATACTAATGTGAAAGGTTAAGCTGTTTGGCAAAAAACTCGTCGAGCAGATTCCAGACCGTTGGGAAGGCAGGTAAACTAAAACAATCCCCCTTCCAAGAGAACTTTAAATATTTTCCGCAGTTCTTGTCAACTGGGACAGAGTAAGAGGAATCTCGTAAATCTTCAGATGTCGTGTAACACCCACGTGTCATAAGACAGACCGCTGAAGTCAAGCTTTCTAATTTGAAATGATTGTTTACTGATACATGGACTTAAGTTCTTCAAATTATGGATGACGCTATATTCTTCTGTTCTATTTTTGAAATGATGGTTACTAATAAATTTACTTAGGTTCTTCAAATTGAGGTTAACTCCATATCCTCCTGTCCTCCTTTTGCGAAGAAAAATCGTGGGGATGAATTCTCCTGGACATTGTTGAGATTTCAATATAACTCCTTTTCAGCTAAGTTTCTCCATCACTTAATCAACGATCCGTTTTTTCTTCCGGATAAGACAGAATTTCCTTTAGAAGAAGCTCTTAATCGTGTAGGGGCGGTCAACAAACTCATATTAAAATCTTTGTACTATTTTAGGAATGTATGCATGAAGCAAGCGATATGGCTACGAGATCATTATAAGTAGACAAAAGATTTTTATTCTTCTAACGCGTGTGCGAGGTCGTTCTGATTGCAGAGAACGATTTCAGAGAACGCCGCCAAGTTTTCTCAAAAAATGCGGAGGAACAAGAATTTGTTAGGATAAACGGCTTCGAATCCCGTTGGTCTGACTTTTCATCAGATACCGGCAATCTATCGTGGGTGGCAAGTACCACCTTTGATAAAGGGAAAGAGGTAAAGATGATAGGAAGAGCAAGAATCTTATGGCACAAGTGAATAAAATGTAGGTTACAAATGGAAATGTAAACAAAGTTCCGTTTAGCGTGAATGCCTATAAGGGGGGCCGTAGAATAAAGTTTTCAATTGCAAGGAATGGGATTGTCAGTAAACCAAATAATTACGAAACGGGTAAACGATTAAATGAAAACACTTTTGATGATGCATTTCGGGAACAATTGATAAGGAGCTAACGTTCATTTCCCATTTAAAGCGTGAGCAGTGAGCGAAGCGAAGGCGTGCACCCACCCCCCGGCGTTATTTCCCACAAATGGCTCACAGGATCTTGGGTGAAAGAAAATTAGACTGAAATGGAGTACTCAAAACTATAGTTTGATCACGTTCTGCAATTCACAGTGTTTCGAAAGTTACCTGACTTATCAACAATTTAAGAGACATACGCTAAAATGGTAGGTTTTAACTGTAAGTCCGTTTTGACAATCTTTCCATAATTTGCAGTTTTTGAACAGCTCAAAATTTAAAGACACGTCACAAAACATCTTTCAGCTATGAACGGCACCGTGCTATCACGATACAAAGCCTAGTGAACGATTTCGATGAATTTAAAAGTCCACAAGGAAGAGAAAAAGTAGATGACAAATCACTTATAACATTACGAATACGTTGTGCAAATACTTGACTGCCACTCTGATTTGGGCAACGTTGGAGACTCCTTAACTAAGTGGAAAACTAAGTGGGTAGGTAAACAAGGAAATGAGGCTGATGATTGCTGAACCTAAAGCTGGCGAGATAACATCTCTATTGTATGTTAAGAAATATATCCCAATTACGAGAAAAGCTCAAATGATTTACAAATGATAACGACAATGACGAAGGTAATGATTCAACCTTTCCCGCTTTTTTTTTTCCCAACGGCTCAACGAGTCACTTTACGTCTTGAATGTGATCTAATAAATGAGGGCAAAATTCTGTTTCTTCAATTTATTTTACTTTCAAGCAACAGCTCCCCAGCAGGATACCTAAGTATTAACTGAACACCACATCAAAAATATCTTGAGCAGAGAGTTTCCGAGATGAAAACATCTTATCCATTATGGTCAACCTTATGCTCTCGTAACATCCAATCACTCGTGTATGTAAGAGCACTGTCTGTTTTTATGTGTAAGTTAATACCCACATCATTTCCCTTCACCATTTCTTTAAAATAAAATATTAAACTTGAGAAAAAGGCTCTGTCAACCAGCTGATGTTCCTTAATAACTCTTCATCACTACCGTAAAACTTAAAACCTCGATTCAATATCCCGTACCTCAAAAGCTTAATGCAGTTATTTTTCAATTTTCAAAGACTGGCAAAAACAGAAGCTTCAATCAATCTTGGATTATTTTCTTGTGCTAGCGCCTTAATAGGAAAGTTCTAATTCTTCGTGTCCAGTAACCTTCTGCTTGCCGTCCCATCACAGTACTATATGCGGCATCATTAACGTTTAAAGCTGCTGGCTCATTAGTAAGATGTCATACTATTAATTCTTAACTTGATCACCTGCAATGCTTCTAAGGATGGCCAATCCTAAACCATCTTCATTTCCTAGAAAAGTGCTGCTGAGTTTTTCTATAACTCGGCAAACTAGCATTCAGTGGTTATCGTCTCTTGTAACGCGCCTTTTAACGTTGAAAGAGAAAAGTATTTAAACCATCTTAGCTCCTCTAAAGACGGGTTTAAAAATCCTTTCAGTCACAATCCCTTTTCGACTAACAGCTGATTGAAGAGCCAGTTCTGTCATCCCGTACTACAAAAGGAGAACTGAAAAATATAGGCGCAGGCACCCTTACATAAATCAAATCTTTTCGACAGTCCTGTTTGAGTTAGATCAGTGAGTAATCTCAAAAACCGAACTTAAATATCAAAACTGTTTGTAAGTTACATTTGTTTGCTGTTGATGTTGTTCCGCATATTTTTTTCGTCAGTTTTTGAGATTATTCAGCGTCTAAAAATAAGAGGTATGCTTGAGCTAGAGAAGTAGAAGGATAACAGGATTTAGCACAAATACGTTTCTTCAGTTACCTTGAAGTAATAATATAAAAATTACGAAAAAGAAAAAAAACAATTACGTGAAAAGCGAGTGCTTTTTAATGGTCGGTTCGCCACCACAGAAATTATTTCTGTAAAAGTAAGTAAATTCAGGTAATTGTTTTAAAGATACGGCTTCCAGAATGCGAAAATAAGTAAGATATAGCCTTTTAGAAAAATGGGCACGAACTTGTGAAACACCCTTTACACGAATATCCAGCTCAAACATCCTTCAGTGGTTCAAGTCCAGGTCAAGTCCAAGTGTAAATGAGTTTGAAGCTACTTGTGATGATTGTCAGCGGACAGAGCCTCCGGAATGTGAGGACTGGAACCTAGGGACGTCACAGAAAAGGGGGAATATAGACTTAATTCCAAAGAAATTTCACTGCAAAGTTGAAAAATCCTCACTTGCGAAGCGTCATACTGTAACATGCTGGTTTAAGATGTCGTAACAATAAGTTTGTAATTAGGTCGGGAAAAAAATATACAAACAAAGAAGGGTGAATCATTTTGGGAATGGGGAAAGTTATCAGAGATATTTTTCACAACTCAAAAATCTTGAGGGGCCTTTCAAGAGGGATCCATGGGGTACTAGGGGCCGGGGATAGAATTTATCCTCAGGATGCATCCCTGATATGTGTCCCCGGAAACAGCTCATCTACGTACCAGTCTAATCCAGAATTCTCCCGCGGTTCTCCTTTCTTTTCTCGTGCGTCAGGTGCAGGGGTCCTTGCGCCAAAGAGTACACGTCGTAAGTCACGTTATCACTCAGCTCACGTTTTCCTCGGCCACTTGAAGGACATTTCATCGAGCATTTGGAACCTGGGTTGGTTGTACTGCATACAGTCACTTGGCAGTGGACGAAAACAAAGGGATGAGCACTAATGAACTTAAAGGCTTCCACGCTGAACCGCTGAGCACGAGAAGAAGGCGATGAATGATATTTCACTGTTACGTCACTTGGGCAGCTAAAGTGAAGCAAATTTCCCTGATCAAGGTGAAATTATGCCTAAGAATATCCTTAACAAAAGTTTTTTTTTTAACTTATGTTGTTGATCACCATGGAATTGAAGATTACGAAGTGTGTCCAATTTTACTTACTTGTCATTAACTATTAGTTGCTTAGGAAAACGTCTCAAGTGATCGCAAAATAAACCAGGTGTGATTTTGCAAAAGGAGTAGAAATCAAGTGTCCAAGACAGTTACTACTAGACATACCCTTTCTTTATAAATTCATATTTCAGAGAATTCTTTTGATCCTGGGTGGGCGTGGCATAACATCTATTAACTGTTCTATTACCTAAATATTTCTAAGAAAAAATTAAATCGGTGCCACGCTTACTAATGTCTACTTTGCCACCGTTGTTCGGTCTTATCACACAACGTCCTCCGTTTCCTATTGGAGAGAGAGCGCGTTGCGTGACGAGACCAAATAACCGTTGCGAAAGAGACTACGCTCACCGCCGTTCCTCTAACATAGAGAAAGTCAAAATTATTTGTCTACAGTAAGCTGCCTAAAAAATAAAATTCCGCGTAATTTCAGAACGAAAAGAAAACTGAAACTCTGTTGTTCCTTTATTAGGCCATGAGCAAAGATATATTGCGATCTCGAACAAGTGAAAATACACTGAACAAGAGAAAACAATAATATTTCAAAGAGGGCTCCTTGATTGGTTGTTGCCCATCTAGACTTTGCCCTGTGTGTGAAAAATACGTAATAAAATGCAGGTTGTTTTAAAAGGAATTAACACGCGATTGGGCTAAGTTCAAGGTAGCTAAAGGCGAATTTTATTCGTAGAAAAAGTCAAAACGCGGGAGTAATGGAAATGATGGAAACTAAAGGCCCACCTAAATGTGGGACATCAGAGCGGCACCACCAGACAATAGATTCTCATAGATTAGAGCCCAGCTGTTCTAAGGCCGATTAGCACGAACCCAGGGTTAAATTTTAATCTTGTATCTTTATTACTTTGTTCAAATGCCCTTTTGGATAATTTTCTCTATTCTTTTTAGAGCATCCAATCTTAAGATTGTACACAAATTACATTAAATTGAATTTTTTTTTAAAGCTTTCAGATTTGAAATCAGTTTTCACATTAACCCTGGGTTATCTTAACCCAGCTTTGAACAACCCGGCCCACGACTCACTACACTTTTTTTTTGGCTCTTGTGCGTGCAAGGTTAAGCAACCCAGGCCAGCCCAGCTCATACCCACTCCCAGCACCGGCGTAAGAGCAGGTGGCAAGAGAGTGCTGATTTCGCACTTACTTCGCTGTAAGACAGATCAATGCCTTTGTTGAGATCCTCCCCTTTTGGGGGCAAAGCTAGCTTTTCTTTGATCGACAGAGTGGGCGTGCTTGCAAGAGCATTCTTGCTGACCACATTATCCATAAGATACATGCTATAGGCAAACGTTTTACCAATACTAAAGTCCTTGAACTTGAGGGAAAACAAGCGGGTGGTAAAACTAAAGGCTTTCCTCATCCTGTCATAAATTTCCTGTTCCATGTTGCGGCCAGCCCAGGACTGACTGACCGGCCACAAAAGGAAGACATTCTGGAATCTCCACTAAAGCTTAATAGCAACATTAATGACCAAAAAAAAGGTTCTAACAATTTACAATTTAGCGTTTCCTCCAGAATCCATATTTCAGCATTACACTGGTAATCGAAATATCCACGTTTCAACCTTCCTTCCCTTCCTTTTCAGTGCCAAAACAAGTGTAAGACAACAATCATACCTGCTGAGCAACCATACAACTCCATTCTTAGTGATATATGACCATACCATGCTGTTGGTCGGAGTTTAATGTAGCGAGCTTTAATGGGTGGGTTTAACTGGTGATAAACAATGCTGTCCGCGTTTTTATTTCCTTTGAATACCTACAAATACAGGCAAGTACAATTAATAATCAGTTACCACAGTCACACCATTCCTGTTGGATTATGCATGATTCTCCAATAGTTTTAACTACCTTCTGAAATCGTAGCGTGATTATTGCACTTAATGTAAACATGCAAGAGAAAGTCAAGGAACTCCAATTTTGCCGCAAAGCCAGGCTAGATATGTGGCATAATTAACTTTTTCCATAGTAGAATGCATGATCAAAGGCTTAGCCCCTTGTTACTAGCACATGACTTAATTAAGAGCTACTTGCATCATATTATAACTGTTACCTCAGTCTATACTGTGAAGACATAAGGATATTTTTTTAACAGTTTTAAATCAAGTAACTGCTTCTACATTTACCTTAGGTGAACTCTGTCCTGGTACTTTATAGTAGTAAAAGTTCACTCCATCTTCACTGTACTGCAGTTTGTATGCTGTTACCCACTGGCTGTGAGCATTCCTTCCCTGTGTTGCTATACTTGTTAATTTGGTGTACCTGCCAAGAGCCACCTGTATCCATTGATTTCCATTATTCTTCCCAGCTGACCATCCTCCTTGCTTGCCTCCACCAGCCTTGAAGTTCAATCTTCCCTGGATTGCTGCATGATTTCTATCCCATTCTGAAGATGCAGTGACCTGAGCGTCTTTAATGCGTCCACTCTCCAAACCAAGAGGTGCCAAACATTCTTTACAGAAATACAGAAGGTAAAAGAACAGTCTATGTGTATGTGTTTATGTACTGAGGTATGTAGGTATGTTTGAGGGTAGGTACATACAGTTCCAGTAAAAATTAAAAAATTACACAAAATTTGGATCAAGCAGAAATGTTCTACACACCTCAATATGTAGTATCTAACAATCTACAGTTTTTTGTTATATCCATTTCAGCATTATACTGGTTATAATCAAAACATGTGTTTCACCCTTCCATTTTTCAGTGCCAAATAAGTTCATATAAGACAACAATCATACCTGCTGAGCAACCATACAGCTCCATCCTTAGTGATATATGACCATACCATGCTGTTGGTCGAAGTTTGATGTAGCGAGCTTTGATGGGTGGGTTTAACTGGTGATAAACAATGCTGTCTCTGTCTTTATTTCCTTTGAATACCTACAAATACATGCAAGTAAAATTAATAATCAGTTACCACAGTCATGCCATTTTAAAAGGTAGTTTAAACTTAAATTTAAAATTATAACATGTTGATTGCACTAGCTGTAAATATGCAAGAGAAAATCAAAGGCTAGATATGTGGCATAATCAACTTTTTTCATAGTAGACTGCATGATCAGGGGCTTAGCTCCTTGGTATTTGTAGTTGGCTTAATTATGAAATACTTGCAACATATTATAACTGTTACCTCAGTCTATACTGTGCAGACATACAGATATGTTTTTAACAGTTTTAAACCAAGTAACTGCTTCTACATTTACCTTAGGTGAACTCTGTCCTGGTACTTTATAGTAGTAAAAGTTCACTCCATCTTCACTGTACTGCAGTTTGTATGCTGTTACCCACTGGCTGTGAGCATTCCTTCCCTGTGTTGCTATACTTGTTAATTTGGTGTACCTGCCAAGAGCCACCTGTATCCATTGATTTCCATTATTCTTCCCAGCTGACCATCCTCCTTGCTTGCCTCCACCAGCCTTGAAGTTCAATCTTCCCTGGATTGCTGCATGATTTCTATCCCACTCTGAAGATGCAGTGACTTGAGAGTTTTTAATGCGTCCACTTTCCAAACCAAGAGATGCTGAACATTCTTTACAGAAATAAAGAAGGAAAAAAAACAGTTTATTTGTATGTGTTACGTACTGAGGTATGAAGGTATGTTTGAGGGTAGGTACATACAGTTCTATTGAAAATTTAAAAGTTACACAAAATTTGGATCAAGGAGAAATTTTCTATGTATGTCATAATGTAGCATCTAACAATCTAGAGATTCTTGCCATATCCATGTTTCAGCATTATACTGGTTATAATCAAAACATGTGTTTCACCCTTCCATTTTTAAGTGCCAAATAAGTTCATGTAAGACAACAATCATACCTGCTGAGCAACCATACAGCTCCATCCTTAGTGATATATGACCATACCATGCTGTTGGTCGAAGTTTGATGTAGCGAGCTTTGATGGGTGGGTTTAACTGGTGATAAACAATGCTGTCTCTGTCTTTATTTCCTTTGAATACCTACAAATACATGCAAGTAAAATTAATAATCAGTTACCACAGTCATGTCATTTTTTATGTCAGTTTCAACTTACATTTAAAATTGTAACATGTTGATTGCACTTGTTGTAAATATCCAAGAGAAAGTAAAAGGCTAGATATGTGGCATAATTAATTTTTTTTAGCTCCTTGGTATTTGCAGATGACTTAATTATGAAATACTTGCAACATATTGTAACTGTTACCTCAGTCTATACTGTGAAGACATAAGGATATGTTTTTAACAGTTTTAAACCAAGTAACTGCTTCTACATTTACCTTAGGTGAACTCTGTCCCGGTACTTTGTAGTAGTAGAAGGTCACTCCATCTTCACTGTACTGCAGTTTGTATGCTGTTACCCACTGGCTGTGAGCATTTCTTCCCTGTGTTGCTATACTTGTTAATTTGGTGTACCTGCCAAGAGCCACCTGTATCCATTGATTTCCATTATTCTTCCCAGCTGACCATCCTCCATGCTTGCCTCTACCAGCCTTGAAGTTCAATCTTCCCTGGATTGCTGCATGATTTCTATCCCATTCTGAAGATGCAGTGACCTGAGCGTCTTTAATGCGTCCACTCTCCAAACCAAGAGGTGCCAAACATTCTTTACAGAAATACAGAAGGTAAAAGAACAGTCTATGTGTATGTGTTTATGTACTGAGGTATGTAGGTATGTTTGAGGGTAGGTACATACAGTTCCAGTAAAAATTAAAAAATTAGACACAATTTGGATCAAGCAGAAATGTTCTACACACCTCATAATGTAGTATCTAACAATCTACAGTTTCTTGTTATATCCATTTCAGCATTATACTGGTTATAATCAAAACATGTGTTTCACCCTTCCATTTTTCAGTGCCAAATAAGTTCATATAAGACAACAATCATACCTGCTGAGCAACCATACAGCTCCATCCTTAGTGATATATGACCATACCATGCTGTTGGTCGAAGTTTGATGTAGCAAGCTTTGATGGGTGGGTTTAACTGGTGATAAACAATGCTGTCTCTGTCTTTATTTCCTTTGAATACCTACAAATACATGCAAGTAAAATTAATAATCAGTTACCACAGTCATGCCATTTTAAAAGGTAGTTTAAACTTACATTTAAAATTATAACATGGTGATTGCACTAGCTGTAAATATACAAGAGATAATCAAGAAACTCAAACTTTGAATGCCAGGCTAGATATGTGGCATAATCATTTTTTTCCATAGTAGAATGCATGATCAGGGGCTTAGCTCCTTGATATTTGCAGATGACTTAATTATGAAATACTTGCAACATATTATAACTGTTACCTCAGTCTATACTGTGCAGACATAAAGATATGTTTTCAACAGTTTTAAACCAAGTAACCGCTTCTACATTTACCTTAGGTGAACTCTGTCCTGGTACTTTATAGTAGTAAAAGTTGTTATTATTATTGGTAGTATTATTTATATAACTTACATTTAAAATTATAACATGGTGATTGCACTAGCTGTAAATATACAAGAGATAATCAAAAAAACTTCAATTTTGAATGCCAGGCTAGATATGTGGCATAATCAACTTTTTCCATAGTAGAATGCATGATCAGGGGCTTAGCCCCTTGGTATTTGCTGATGACTTAATTAAGAAATACTTGCAACATATTATAACCGTTACCTCAGTCTATACTGCACAGACATAAGGATATGTTTTTAACAGTTTTAAACTAAATAACTGCTTCTACATTTACCCTAGGTGAACTCTGTCCCGGTACTTTGTAGTAGTAGAAGGTCACTCCATCTTCACTGTACTGCAGTTTGTATGCTGTTACCCACTGGCTGTGAGCATTCCTTCCCTGTGTTGCTATACTTGTTAATTTGGTGTAACTGCCAAGAGCCACCTGTATCCATTGATTTCCATTATTTTTCCCAGCTGACCATCCTCCTTGCTTGCCTCCACCAGCCTTGAAGTTCAATCTTCCCTGGATTGCTGCATGATTTCTATCCCATTCTGAAGATGCAGTGACTTGAGCATCTTTAATGCGTCCACTCTCCAAACCAAGAGGTGCCGAACATTCTTTACAGAAATAAGAAGGTAAAAGAACAGTCTATGTGTATGTGTTTATGTACTGAGGTATGTAGGTATGTTTGAGGGTAGGTACATACAGTTCGATTGAAAATTTAGAAGTTACACAAAATTTGGATCAAGGGGAAATTTTTTTTGTATGTCATAATGTAGTATCTAACAATCTACAGTTTCTTGCCATATTCATATTTCAGCATTATACTAGTTATAACCAAAACATGTGTTTCACCCTTCCATTTTTCAGTGCCAAATAAGTTCATGTAAGACAATTATCTTACCTGCTGAGCAACCATACAGCTCCATCCTAAGTGATATATGACCGTACCATGCTGTTGGTCGAAGTTTGATGTAGCGAGCTTTGATGGGTGGGTTTAACTGGTGATAAACAATGCTGTCTCTGTCTTTATTTCCTTTGAATACCTACAAATACATGCAAGTAAAATTAATAATCAGTTACCACAGTCATGTCATTTTTAATGTCAGTTTCAACTTGCATTTATTAGTCAACTTAGTATCTTTCCTTCGTCTGAAGAACTTACACGGCCACCTAAATATGTTTCTGATAACAAGATACGTCATTCAATAACTCGACTTAATGCATGTATGAAGCTGCTTCGGCTAATATATTTCACCACGTATGTTTGTGCTGCCAGTTGCATCGTTCTCTGTGGTGATGTGGAGCTTAGTCCTGGACCTATTGCAGTTAGCGATACACCAAAGTGTCCTCTCTGTCTCAAAATTACAAAAACAGATGATGCTTGTCTTCCCTGTACTTCATGCAAGAAGGATTTTCATCTAATGAGTCTTGGTCCTGATTTTGACTCTTCAGGCCACTGTCATATGAGCAGCTCTGATAACAACATGTCACTCGATGATCTTAGTGAAGATGAGATTGATCTTCCTTTAAAACTTCAAGAAATTGTCAATAATCGTGGCTTGAAATTGATACATCAGAACATTTAAAGCCTACCATGGAAAATCGACCAACTACGCCTTCTGTTAAGCAAACTCAAATCTAGTATTCACATCTTTGGGCTGACTGAAACTTGGTGAAAGCACTCAATTCCTGACAATGAATTATCAATTCCTGGTTATAAACTGTTTAGAAAGGACAGACAGGGGAAAGGTGGAGGCGTAGCAATATGTTCGCAATGATGTTATGGTTGACAGAAGAGAAGACCTTGAAAGGCCCGACATAGAAGGCCTTTGGCTTGAAGTTTCCCTTCCAAAGTCGCGTAGTTTACTAACCAGTTGTTTATACCGACCTCCAAACTCATCTAACCACTATGATAAAGGTTTCTGTTCAAAAATGAATAACACTCTGAACACTGCTGTCTCAAAGGGTCAAGAAGTGCTTTTACTTGGAGATTGGAACACCGACTTTGCATCAAAATGCTCAACTATCCCAGAATGTAACCAACTTAAATCTTTATTTAAATTGTTGCAGTTTACTCAAATAATCAAGGAGCCTACAAGAGTCACCGCAGAATCTAGAACTATGATTGATCTGATTGCTACAAACCATCCACAAAACATTAAAGACTCTGGGGTCGTCACCGGTACTAGCTTAAGCGATCATGAAATGTCTTTCTGTGTCAGAAAGATAAATTGGAAAAAGACTCCATAACAACTTAAAACATTTCGAAATTATGCAAATTACGACCCAGATAAATTCCTTGAGGACTTGAAAAACACAGACTTCGATCTCCCAAGTGAAAACGTTAACAATAAGGACGTTAATGAGCTTTGGCAGTCCTTCAAAGATAAGTTTACCAACATAGCAGAACGTCACACCCCACTATTGTAAAACGCGTTAGGGGCTTAAACAATTATTTCCTTGGCTCAATACTTCTATCAAACGTCAAATGAGACAAAGGGATTATTTACAGAAAAAAGCTCACACCACCGGACTTCCCTCAGACTGAAAAGATACCACTTACAAAGAAATTGAGTTACCAATTTAATCAGAAAGGAAAAGGAAAACTACAATCGAAGGCTGATCAACGAGAATGCTGGCGATCCCAACTCATTCTGGTGAACAGTTAAGAAAATCCTGCTCTCCGAAAGCAAAGAACCATCACCAAAACTCAAAAGTTGATGGTCAAGTAATAACTGAAAAAAGCTCAATTGCAAATTCTTTCAACAATGTCTTTGTAAATACAGCTATCAACCTTTGCAAATCATTTATAAATGCTGCATCGAACCTCTCGTCAAGTATATCTTTAACAAAAGCTACGAACTCTACTTTTCTGTTTACAAATATTTCTCAATCTACTGTTCTGTCTGAAATCCGACCACTTAAATCAGGCAAAGCTGTGGGCTTAGATAATATTCCACCAAGACTTCTAAAGGACGCTTCTGCAATAGTCACTAAACCTATTACAGCAATAATTAATGCTTCACTGTCTCAGGGCAAAGTTCCAGACGACTGGAAAGCTGCTTATGTTATTCCATTATTTAAGAAAGGGAGGAAAGACAATGTTGACAATTATCACCCCATATCTATCTTACCTGCAATATCAGAGTTACTTGAATGAGTGGTGCATACTCAACTAGTAAGTTATTTACAAGAAAACCGTCTACTTAGCCCATTCCAATGTGGATTTTGCAAACAACACTCAACAACATTTGCAGCTCTGTCCTTCGCGGACACAATCCAGCAAAACATTGATCAGGGTTTTATGATGGGAGCAGTTTTTGTGGACTTGCGTAAGGCATTTGATACAATAGATCATTCTATTTTGTTGAGAAAACTGCACTTTCTTGGAATCAAAGGCAAAGAGCGAAACTGGTTTGAAAACTATCTGTCTGGCCGCACCCAAGTTGTTGGCATTGGTGGTGCCTCGTCTGATTCTCAACACATAACATCTGGTGTTCCACAATGTTCCATATTAGACTCTCTACTCTTTGTTATTCTTATCAACGATTTGCCCCTCTGCATTAAGATTTGTAATATGCTTATGTACGCAGATGATACGTTCTGTTTTGTGCTGGATATAACTCTAAAGTCATCGAAGACAGTCTGAATGAGGGCCTGAATACAATGGGTGAATGGCTTCAAGTGAACAGCTTGTTTCTAAATACCACCAAGACTGAAGCCATGCTATTTGGAATTCATTCTAAACTGTCCAAACATTAAGACTTTGATATTACTTTTCATGGACAAAGTTTAAAACGGGTAAACATATTCACTTATCTTGGTATTATATTTGATGAGACTATTTCTTGGGCTCCCCACATTCAGCACATTTTATCTAAAGCTAAGAAAAGATTAGGTATGCTATCTCTATTATGAAGAGATTTAACTTGTCATGCTGCCAACAATTTATATCTATCATTTATCTGTCCAATTTTTGACAATGGCGACACTGTATGGAACTGTTGTGGAGTGGGCAATGCCAGACTGCTGGATAATTTTCAAAGAAGGGCATCCAAAATTGTTTCAATATCTATGGATAGTGACAAAGCTTTAATGGATCTTAAATGGCCTGAGTTACAGTCGAGAAGAGACGAACATACTTTTAAATTAGTTAATAAATGCATTTCTGGTAACTGTCCTCAATTTTTTAAGCAATATTTCAATTTTAATAATACCAGAACAAGACAGAGAAATTTACTTCATTTGCCTCGCGTTAGAACTGAAACAGCCAAGAAATCTTTTTATTATCATAGATGAGTTGTTTATAATATTCAAGTTAATTAGAATTTTTTATAATATTTTATATTGACTAGATTCTTATTGTTTTGTGTGTATTTATAGATTTTTATACCATTCTATATATATAGATTTTTATAGTATTGTTCGATATTTAGATAGCACATAAATTATTAGTCTTGCCGCTGTTATTATTATTGGTAGTATTATTTATATTGATTTTAGCATTATGCATTTGATTTATTTTATGATCCTATTCACCAGGGCTCCTCTTGATAGCAGAGCTGTACTTTCTAATGGGACTACCCTGGTGTGGGGATTGTTATTTATTTTAAATAAAAGGGGTCATAATACATTTAAAATTATAACATGTTGATTGCACTAGCTGTAAATATGCAAGAGAAAATCAAGAAACTTCAATTTTGAATGCCAGGCAAGATATTTTGATGTAGTGAGCTTTGATGGGTGGGTTTAACTGGTGATAAACAATGCTGTCTCTGTCTTTATTTCCTTTGAATACCTACAAATACATTCAAGTAAAATTAATAATCAGTTACCACAGTCATGCCATTTTAAAAAGGTAGTTTAAACTTACATTTAAAATTATAACATGTTGATTGCACTAGCTGTAAATATGCAAGAGATAATCAAGAAACTCAAATTTTGAATGCCAGGCTAGATATGTGGCATAATCAACTTTTTCCATAGTAGAATGCATGATCAGGGGCTTAGCCCCTTGGTATTTGCAGATGACTTAATTATGAAATACTTGCAACATATTATAACTGTTACCTCTATACTGTGCAGACATAAGGATATGTTTTTAACAGTTTTAAACCAAGTAACTGCTTCTACATTTACCTTAGGTGAACTCTGTCCCGGTACTTTGTAGTAGTAGAAGGTCACTCCATCTTCACTGTACTGCAGTTTGTATGCTGTTACCCACTGGCTGTGAGCATTCCTTCCCTGTGTTGCTATACTTGTTAATTTGGTGTAACTGCCAAGAGCCACCTGTATCCATTGATTTCCATTATTCTTCCCAGCTGACCATCCTCCTTGCTTGCCTCCACCAGCCTTGAAGTTCAATCTTCCCTGGATTGCTGCATGATTTCTATCCCATTCTGAAGATGCAGTGACCTGAGCATCTTTAATGCGTCCACTCTCCAAACCAAGAGGTGCCGAACATTCTTTACAGAAATAAAGAAGGTAAAAGAACAGTTTATGTGTATGTGTTTATGTACTGAGGTATGTAGGTATGTTTGAGGGTAGGTACATACAGTTCTAGTATAAATTAAAAAATTACACAAAATTTGGATCAAGCAGAAATGTTCTACACACCTCATTATGTAGTATCTAACAATCTACAGTTTCTTGTTATATCCATTTCAGCATTATACTGGTTATAATCAAAACATGTGTTTCATCCATCCATTTTTCAGTGCCAAATAAGTTCATGTAAGACAACAATCATACCTGCTGAGCAACCATACAGCTCCATCCTTAGTGATATATGACCATACCATGCTGTTGGTCGAAGTTTAATGTAGCGAGCTTTGATGGGTGGGTTTAACTGGTGATAAACAATGCTGTCTCTGTCTTTATTTCCTTTGAATACCTACAAATACATGCAAGTAAAATTAATAATCAGTTACCACAGTCATGCCATTTTAAAAGGTAGTTTAAACTTACATTTAAAATTATAACATGTTGATTGCACTAGCTGTAAATATGCAAGAGAAAATCAAGAAACTTCAATTTTGAATACCAGGCTAGATATGTGGCATAATTAACTTTTTCCATAGTAGAATGCATGATCAGGGGCTTAGCTCCTTGGTATTTGCAGATGACTTAATTATGAAATACTTGCAACATATTATAACTGTTACCTCAGTCTATACTGTGCAGACATACAGATATGTTTTTAACAGTTTTAAACCAAGTAACTGCTTCTACATTTACCTTAGGTGAACTCTGTCCTGGTACTTTATAGTAGTAAAACTTCACTCCATCTTCACTGTACTGTAGCTTGTATGCTGTTACCCACTGGCTGTGAGCATTCCTTCCCTGTGTTGCTATACTTTTTAATTTAGTGTAACTGCCAAGAGCCACCTGTATCCATTGATTTCCATTATTCTTCCCAGCTGACCATCCTCCTTGCTTGCCTCCACCAGCCTTGAAGTTCAATCTTCCCTGGATTGCTGCATGATTTCTATCCCACTCTGAAGATACAGTGATTTGAGAGTCTTTAATGCGTCCACTTTCCAAACCAAGAGGTGCTGAACATTCTTTACAGAAATAAAGAAGGAAAAAAAAACAGTTTATTTGTATGTGTTTATGTACTGAGGTATGTAGGTAT